GGATTATATGGTCCCATGTGTGTACATGCAAATACATGGCAATAAATGATGGTTGAGCCAGCGATGCCCTCGTTCCATGAATGAATAAATAACGAATATGAGGAAAGTTTGAAAGTTTGAACTTTTGGCCTCAGCTACTGTCACCATCTTTGATTCTAGTTGGAAAGTCCTCATACAATGGTCATTTTCTTTCCAGTTACAAGGAATCATTGAGATAATATTTTTATTTAAATGCGAAACATGCATATTAACAAAAAGAAATCTAATGCAATTATTTTTGGAGACAATCTAATGAATATCTCAAAATGAGGTTCAGAACTCACAATGTTTTATTGCATTTTATGAAATCAGCATAAGAAAAATCACAATCATGGTGGAAATTTGACATATTGGACCCAAAACCACCTTACCTTTCCCATCACTACATACTAAAAAGGTTGAATATGTATCCAGTTGAGAGCCAAATTAACTAAAGGGTCATCAAATAAGCTTGATTGATTATTGATGGGACGTGAAATCTAATTTTAGAATTGACAGTCAAATGTCCATGAGATAAACATGTTTACAGCAAAATAACATATGTTTCAAGGATTACATATCTATATTAGTAATTTTCCAAAGTACTTGATTCCAGATTGATAATATTGGCTTTTGGAGAGATTTAGAATTGTTTGCAATAAGGTGTGTAACCCTCAATTTAACATGTTGTGTTTGCCATTTTCAAATAGGCAGCACCAGAGGTAGTTGCGACATCAGAATAACACGTATACAGAAATGAGTATTTTAACATTCTTCCATAAGCTAAATAGGTGCAAGGATACTGCAGAAAAAGTGTCCATGCTTGAAATGTCAGCCTTACAGCATTAACTCATTGAAAATAAGAGTTCCTATCAACTCAGGGTTACTTGAAATTCTGCTTCATAAACAAGTTATAATTATTTTTTTCCAAACTTCAGTCATCCTTTTTTCCCTTCAGCAATAAAGGAAAAAATGTGCTAATATTTATTCTAGATCTCCTATTTGCAGCATTTAAACAGTTGTTTAATAACTCATAACTCAACCTGTGTGTCTCATTTTCGTATTATATCTCTAAAGTAGTTTTGGAGAGGCAAAAACAAGAATTATTTTAGAAATTATACTATGACATGATAGTTATATTACAATCAAAGATATGAATGTTAGGTCAAAGCTTTTCTTCAATAGCAGCTCCTTATTTTGTCAAGTGGTATCGGATTAAGATCTCCAACTGGAGGCTGAAGTGAGAAGAATGCAAAAAGATGAAATGACTCTTGTTCCAGGCATATCAAGAGCACAAGGCCACCCTTTTACTCAAGAACAAAATGTTCCAAGTCATTATTTAGCTGTTCCTCCATGTCCAATTTTCCATTTACATTTCCAGTGTGTCCAATGGCTATTAAATTAGAGCTAGGATGGAAGGTGGGAATGCAGTAAAAAGTACAGGCTATTAAATCCCTTGGAAGACATGGCTGAAACAGCCAATATATCATGGTTTTATGTTTTTTTCCAGTGTAACATTTCTAAAAAAAAACCTGATCATTACATCTTCCTGATTCAGGTAAAACAAAAGGAATGCTCCTTTCACTTATAAACACTGGGATACCTTTTCCTCTTTTAAAGAACACTTGCCAGATTTCTGCTGAAATAAAAAAAACAAATTCAAAAAGATTTTTTTTAAGTGCTTGAAATAATCGACAGATGTTAGTTCCTAATAACCACATCTAAATACAATCATCCTTCCAGATGAAAATACATTCATCAGTCAGGTTGCTGTGTAAGGATTTACAGAACCCAAAGGGTTAAATTATGCATTTGTAATTTTGCAAGTAATCTCCACATAAAACGAGTACAATACATTTATTTGAAAAAGTTCTAACTTTCATTCTCCAGATATCTTAGTTAGCTATATTTACCCCTTTCTCTTCTTATGTTACGTTCTTATGTTTTACCCCTCATGGTTTGGCCATCATTCCTGTAGACCTTAACTCTGTTCTATTGGATGATTTTGTTAAATTATTTGAATAAATATACAAACGCGTTCTTGGTATTTAATAAGAAAAAAATTAATTTTTTTAAGGTAACAAGGCAATTGCTGAACACAATTACTCCAAGATGAATTTTGATGTTTCAGCATTTCACATTCTAAGGAGTGATGAATTCCTAAGCCTCTTGGTCAGAGACCCCCAACATGCACAAACACAACCTCAACTGAACAATTCCTATGAAGGCAAGCGAAAAAAAAAGACTGACGTGGCTCGTGGCTCTATTACTATACGATTGATCTACCGTGGCTTTTCCGCCGTGAGCTAAGTTTGGATCAAAAAAAGGCTGGAGATATTGTCAGATTGGACAAATGCCCTGCTTGTGACAAGGCAGATTTTTACATACTTAAAAGGTGCTGAGGAAAGAGTACTGCTCTGCGTTGTTACGTGCACATACGTACGAGAAGATATCCGCTTCCTTGGCTCTCTACCTGGCTGCTACACGCACTGCACTTATCATTCTGAATGTGAATTACCATGAGGTTACTTTAGGCTTTTAGCTTGTTTTTAAAAACTGCGCAAAAGATAATAAAATTACACTGTATTGCAAACCTGTATTGGAGTTTCTAAACGCCTTTGCTATTTCAGTACATTAAACAGAATGGCAGAGCTCAAAGCTTTGCAAATTATCTAACCAGGATGTCCAAATGCTAGAATTGGGATGCTGATAGCAAGGATTGCGTATCGTGTAAGACATTTGCAATCATTTAAAATAAATTAAGTGGATAGTCAACGAGTGATTAAAACATTTAGCACTATCAGGTCACCTTTAGTTTAAAAATGTACAAGTGTAGTTTAGATATTTAGAAGCATAAAAACGTTTAGTCTGAAATCAGATGTATTGAGGTGTGAAGAATAAAGACAATAAAGATCAGTTGGTTGCTCGATTTATGTTCAGAGATTCAACAGACTTCAAATATATTGAAATTTTACTTGTGGGGCGTTTGACTACAGATGAAGTAATTGTGTTAACATGCAAAAATACAAATTTACGTAAGCAGTGGTGATTTAAATGTACAATGATTCATATTATTACTTTGTATTTACATTAGTGAATAAAGAGAAAATGTGGACATTACTAATTCCACGATTATCCTAGACAACAAATTGCACATAATGCATGGAAAGAAGAATTTTTGTTCTCTGTGTCTTTGAGCTGGGCTAATTTAGTTTAGTCAATTTAATTTTTTCGCAAGAAGAAATTGGCTTTTAAAATGCCCTGTAGCATATGAAATTATGTCCTGTTTCGAATAGTTACAATTGTAATGACAAAAATGAGAAAATGTGCCGTAAAAGGAGTTAAAATTAAAATACAACTGCAATTATCATCTTTTTAACTAAATAAAAAAGTTTTTCACCTACAAATGTACAGATTACAAAAATTTTTGCTGTTGCAAATTAAAAGTGCAAATATAAACAGCTAAAATAAATGAAGTCAGCATACTTTAAGTAGAATATTAAAAGTGTAATCAATGCAGAGCAATTATGTGGTGTAAACTCAGCATAGGCGTTTGTGTCACTTAAGTGATCGCTACTTTGATGAAGACATTACCTCATATTTTAGTGATTAGCACCTCTTTAAAGTAGGGCACAAAAGAATCTGATCATCTGATGTCTGTTATTTCCAGACAATAATTTCAATCCGATAAATGCATCAAGTATAAACATCATTTCATATTGTTGGGGTGTATTAGCAGTCTAAAGAATTTAGAAAATAATCATTAACACTTTATATCAATATGTTGACAAAATCATTTTCCCTATACTCCATTTAAGGATCAATTCTTTATAAAACTTGAAGATAACACTTAACAATTTTATATTTACTGGAATGGAGAACAATCATACTGGGGGAATTTCTGATATTGTAAAATAGATTCAGTCATGTATGACCAATAATGTTGTATGGAAATTGCAATACAATATTGTGTTTAGTTGAAACAAGACTGGAAAATGCCATTTTGATTTTTGCATCAGTTTCTCCTCATCCATTTATTTAACAGTTGAAACAAATGACCAAAATAGTGAGATTATTAATTAAGCTGAGATCCATCGTCTTCAGGCGCATAATTTGAAACTTTGTTTTTTAAAAAAGGAAGTTTAGTAGATTCTTGGGTTGGATCCATAAATTGCTTTATTAACTTAAAATACATCAGTGGTCTTCATAAAAATAGTGATCAGAGAAATTTGTCACAGACTTGTTGAATTTTTTATTCAATTCAGTTCCCACTTAGTAAACCAATTATTTTAGGCAATTTTAATTTTGGTGCATAAAACATCAAATAATTACTGCAATTACCATGCAAATCAGCTCTAAATTCAAAGTAACTTCTCTTGAAAGTTGACACTGCATTGTACAGTATTAGTAATTAGCACTGAAATGTTTACAAAACTCCTGTATGCCACTTAACAAAGGTGTTAATCAATTTAAAATGAAAATCTAATGTGTTTATTAAAAAATGACATGAATTTCATTCATAACATATTCATTCCAATTTTAACAGCGCCAAATTTCAATCCCTTAGACAACAGTGTTGGTCAAAATAAACTAGTAGTTCTGTACATTTATTTGCTTATTAAAAACACAATAATGCAAAGAAATACTTCTTTGCAATACTCGAGCAAGTTCAGTGCAAGTTCAGGAAAATAATTTGTATATATTGATTACTGAGTCACAGTACATCACTGTATCTCGCACTGTAATATTATACAATTCTAATTAAGGTCTTTGAAAATTTCTTCAGAAAATTTATCAATTTAGATTAGCTTTTCACAAAATCTCTTGAAGGCATCACAGTGAAACAAAACACAACTTGGATTCAGACTGCCATCATGGTAGATGAACCTTTGTACTTATATGCTGCAATCTTAAGTTTGTTTACTGAACACATCTTAATAAATTGAAAAATATCACTTTATACAAACCGACAGCATTCTATATTTAGCTTAAGTGGAGTTTTTCTTCCGCACTTTATTCTAAAAAATGAAATGGACAGAAGGTACAGTTTTTGCATGCATGCACCTGTGAAGTAAACTGAGCTATACACATAGTGGATTGCAATAGAATATTTGCTAGTTATCAGTGTACAAAACGCCATTAGAGGTGATGGTTGCATATGCAATTCAGAAACCGAATTAAGTAACATTCTGCCTATGGTACAAAATTGAAGTGAACAACTATAAGTATACATTTAAAACATATCTTGCATATTACAACCTTAGTTCAATTTCACAGACCTAACTTAATCTTATGCCAACTGTCTGTAAATTTACTTTACATCTGTGAATGAAGTCACAATCAAAATAAGCATACATAGGTATCATTCAATCTTATTGTCATAATGATTTATCTTGTTAACAAACGAAATTGGAATTGAGCATTCACCTAAACAAATAAAGACAACCTCTTGCATAACTGAAACTCTACAACAATTACACGTGCTTTTTTAAAACATGCCCTTTAAATTAATGTTTGTGAAAGTTAAGTAAATGTGTACTTTAAAATTTGTAGCAATATCACAGCACATAAAAGCTACCAAATATGTAAAATTTTATTTCTGTACATTTTCAACTGCTTTTGAACTTTAAATACTTTTCTGTGTTTGGTTTTTCAGTCAAGTGTGGCTTTTACAGTCATTCAGTCCAGCGAGGTTTCTGTGATCGCATATTACCCTGTATGATATTTTGGAAAACCATTTCTTTTTTCATTCACTATTGCTGCTGTCTTACAGTTTCCTAAAGAAAGATATTATCAGCCAAGGTCTTTGGAGAGATGGTTGGCAGTGAATAAATCAATTTGTGTCATTTTATGTAATACATCCATTTTACTTTGTTTTAACAGTGTCCTTAGTTACATTGTGTGCTACTATTCCATATGTGGATGTACGCACAAAGTCTTGAATAATATGTTAAACATGATTGAATGTATGTTATGCTGATCTGTTACAGAATATTACAATAATAGATAGAGATTATCTGCATTGATTTTACAGAAGTCCAAATTCAGTGTTTGCACTGTGCACTATGGCAAACTTCAGCAAGCACATGGGCTTTAGTGGAGATACTTTTAAAAATAATTAAAACAAAACTAAGAAAATTAACATTTTAGTATGTTAAGAAAATTATCAGACCAAATTTCTTATGATAACACAAATCTGCGCACCATTATACTAGTCAAATTTGTTCAAAATTGATGTAAATTCAAGTGTGCACAAAGTTTGGCTAGATGGAGATGGTCCTTAAGTAAAAGGGGGGGACTTTGGAAAACAGGGAAATCCCTTAATTAAAAATACAGATACTGAATCCAATTCTAGAGATTCTGAAAATCCACGATTTTTTTTCAATCCTCTGATAAAGATCAGGCAGATTCAAAAATCCTTGCAAAATTTATTTTATGACATATTGGTAGGTAGTACTTACAATTTTGCCATGACCTTAAACAATAATGAGCAAAAGATTAAGCAAGTGGTTATACACAGAGCTTCTTTTGGCAACCTCATAAATTTTGTTTGTAAACCAAGGGAAACATTCATGTCCCATGTGATTTTGATGAACAGCTCAAAAGCATAATTAGACCAGGACTTTTCACTATCGCTCTTCCCATATCGCGCACTTGCATGCCCACCAAATGTGAAATGTTCGCCTGTTCTCTCAAATGTGATGGTTGTTGAACTTATTTTTAGTGTCATTTGATAAGCTTCTCTGCTCGCAGAGAGACATCCCACTGACCCAGCCACTGGTCATTGTCTATACCAGTTCACATCAAAGCAGGCGCGCTTTGTCAGGTTTCGACTCGAATATCCATTTTGCATTTCATGTACAGTATCGAAAGTGACTGCATCATTCGAGCTTTTTCTCAGCTGCTGCTTTCTTCTCCCCCACAGTGTTTCTGCTCATACTGACAGCATTTCGGATTGTCGTCTTGACAAGATGGTTGGGGAAAAATAAAATAATGAAATTTATTTTTTCCCCAACATTTTGGAAAGGGGTTGCAGCAGGAAGATATAACTTCATTGTTTGGTTACAAACAAGGGTACTTTTTATTTCTCCCTTTCGAACGAAACCAGTGCCAAGTATGTTTTAAAAATCCAAGCAAAGCTTAAATAGTGATAGGTCATTCAATGTCAAAAAGCATAAAAAAGATGAGCAAAATCTTCACAGGCTGCTGCTTGCTGTTGCCTTTAATTATATTAATTAAACTTTGAAATTCTCATGCAAAGAGAGTTGCTGGATTGTGACACTGTAAAGCCCTTGGAGATTTGTAGAATGGGGGGATAGCAGCCGTACAACCTTGGGTTATAAAAGGAATGCTGTATTTTGTCTTATCTATTTGTTTTATATAAATATTCAGATCAATGTGAATGCTTTAATAGGATGAGATGTTATGAGCAATTGGACACAGGAAAGCACCGGCCACAATGCTTGGCCTCAGAGCACCAACGTCTCAATTTCTGCAGCAGATCTTTGGTTATAGGCACTGCTGCTGTATGATAACGCTCTATTAATTTTCTTCTCCAGCACATAATGAAAGAAAGGTGTCTTCAAAAACTAAAGGGCAAAGTCTAGCTGATTCCCATACCTTGGGGCATCCTGCCTACATTTTGTCATGCGTGTGCACTTTTCAGTGGAAAATGACAAGATTTTCAGTCAGACGGTTCCCGTAAGGCATTGTAAAGTGGTGAAGTTGGAAAGATCTTGTAATGTGACATCGCTGAAAGGCAATGAACTTATGCACTGGGTAGTCCTGGTGGGATTGTCGCTCCGCCTTTGGGTAATAGGCTCCATTCTGACAATACACTCTGTCTATAAAATGTGATGACCCAAAACAGCACATTACAATCAGACTACATTCAGACTGGAAAAAAGTTCAAAGTGACTCCAAGTGCCAAGAATTGATGTACTTTTCTTGTAGGGGGTGATGGGTGTTAATGTTTACTTTTTGCTACTGCTGCATGCCCATTACTGGGGATTGAAGATCAGGAGAGAAGCAACGCATCTGTCAAGAAATCGCCAAAGAGTTCTTGGTGGGTTAAAGAAAAATCTGTATTGCTCTTGCTGCAGTTTTGTGATGAGTTAACAAAAAGCATCACCAAGACTGTGTTTTGCCCATCTTTAGAGAGGATTACTGATGTCAATTGGAAATTGAGAATCCTTTATTATTCTTCAGTCGGCAGTAAAGAAATAAAACAGCTCTAGCTTCTTCAATTTTACTGTGTCTGGACTCGGCTGAAGTTTATACAGCGCCCCTGCAAAGCGAAGGGAAAATAGTGAAAAATTATATAAAATAACAATGTTCTGTGAATGTATAATTCAACTACTATTAACATATAAGTGGGGGACAAGAATAGTTAGCAACCATTAAATACATTCATTACCTTTAGTTTTCTTCTCACCTTCGTTTATTCTTTATATACACCTGTCATTGCAAACACAATATGGGCAGAATTCCTAGTAGCTAAAACTATTTGCTTTTTGGGTTTGATTGAGTTGCCATTACTTTACTGGAGTAAAGTACTTCTAGGAGTTAAAAATAATTAGACCATCAGGTCCTGCATTGTACCTGTCACTTCTGCAGAATGCCACAGTGGACATTCCATTGCGTACCTCCATGTAATCAATAGAAGAAAAGAATAAATAGTATACAAATAACAGCAACAGATAGTAGTGAAGACAATTTTTTTAAAGAATGTACAATGCAGCACTGATCTTTCACTTCAGAGATCTGGCTTCAGATCCAGTTTTAATGAGTCTGAAAGTCTCACCAGATGTTGCAATGATCCGAAATGGCCAGCCTCAGTCTAGATCAAGGTATCAAGAAACAGCTGGATGCACTGTATGCTGCAAAGGCTATGGGCTCCAATAACATTCCGGCAATAGTACTGAAGGCCATAATGCGCCACACCTCTAGCCAAACTGTTCCAGTGCCATTATAACACAGGCATCTGTCCATCTGACAATGTAACAAATTGCCGCAGCACGTTCTTAACACAAAAAGGGGAAACCTTACCCAGCCAATTACTGCCCTATCAGTCTACTATCGATCATCAGTAAAGTGGTAGAAGGTATCATCAACAGTGCTAGCAAACAGTACTTCTGTCTGCTCCGTGATGCCCAGTTTGGATTCTGGCAGGGCCACTCAGCTCCTGACCTTATTACAGCCTTCAGTCAAACAGGGACAAAATACTGAATTACAGAGGTAAGGTGAGAGTGACAGGCCTTGCCATCGAGGCCGTATTTGACCAAGTGTGGCATCAAGTCGCCCAAGTAAAACTGGAGTCAATGGGAATCAGGGTGCAAATTCTCTGCTGATTGAAGTAATACCTGGCACAAATACTGAAGAGGTCCATGTCCAAATGCAGCAAGAGCTGGACAAAATCCAGATTTGGGCTGACAAGTGGCAAGTAACATTTGCACCATGCAAATGCCAGGCAATGACCAGATCCAATAATAGACAATCCAGTCATCATCCTATTGCCATGCTTGATTTTTGTCGTATGATCAACAAATTTGTTGCCCAAATTTGGAATACCAGCATCACAGCTGGCAAGGTATGCAGTATCAGGATAAAACCAAATCGCCTTCTGGTACACATAATAGACACACTGCTTGTGACCTTATCCTCAAAGAATGTCACGTAAGGCCCATAGGAAGTATGTCATTAATGAATAATGTTGCAAGGTCTCTTTACCAATATTAAAAGTGGCAGTGCGCAAACCAAATTTGGTTTCATATTTCATATTGAGTCATAGAGTCGGAGATCTACAGCACAAAAAAAGCCCTTTGACCCAACACGTCTGCACCAGTCAAAAAAAAAAATCCATCTAACTGTTCTCATCCCATTTTCCAGCATTTGGCCCATTGCTTTGTATGCCTTGGCATTGCAAGCACACATCTAAATACTCCTTAAATGTTATCAGGGTTTCTGCCTCTACTACCTTTATGGGTAGTCAGTTCCAGATTTCCACTATATGTTGGGTAAAAAAGTGTTGCCTCACATCTCCTTTAAACCTTCTGCCCTCCATGCGACCTCCATGCATTTCAAATAATCATATTAGCGTTAAAAAGTAAGGTGTAAATTATTCCTTTTGAGAGTTTTCATGGATGTGTCGATCTAAGAATATTAAACACAAGTCTCCTGTGATGGATGTATTTCACATTCAGTTCCGTAAATGCATAGTAACTATTTTAGGAATATTACGAATTCGCCTAGCCCACACATTTCCTCATAAAGGATCTCAAATTAATGAGACCTTCAATGGAAGAGTAAGCACATTATACAAAGGTTGCATCTGCTTGGCTGTTGCAACAAACTGATAAATGATTTTCTGCTTATTCATGGGCAGACATATGCACAAATAATTTATTAATTACATATCTTATAGTTAGGTATATTTTACTACCTTCACCTTCGTTATTAAATTGTAATCGATTTGGTGCATGAAACCAAATAAATTGGAAATTAGGGCGAACCTTTTAAAAACAAACTTTCTGAATCGTTACAGGCAAATTATCTCCCTATATGAGCAGCTTTAATGGTATTAAGGCACATCAGGGTAAGGCAAGTGTCCACCATACGATTCAAAATATACGGGGTAGTGGGTATATTTGCTCCTGAAAGCCACCAAATTTCTCAGAAAAATTCAATCACTGGGCAACCAATAGGGAAAAGGCTGTTCCATATGTAGAATGGACAGAATTAAAATTAAAAAAAAAACAAAACCCGAAAGAACTGCAGATGCTGGAAATCAGATACAAAAATAGAAATTGATGGAAAATTTCAGTAAGTCTGGCAGAATCTGTGGAGAGAAATCAGAGTTAATATTTCGGGTCCAGCGACCCTTCCTCAGAAACTGTGTTCTGAAGAAGGGTCACTGGACCTGAAACATTAACTCTGATTTCTCTTCACAGATGCTGCCAGACCTGCTGAGATTTTCCAGCAATTTCTGTTTTTTGGACAGAATTAGTGAGGAGGTGCTCCTCCAATCACAGTGAGCCTGGCAGCAGCAAACACAGCAGTGAAACAACCAATGATTGGAGAAGGCATGAGAAATTGGGAAAGGAAATGGTGGCTTTGGGAATCTTTAGCCAGGTGCCATGAGCCATGTTTCTTGCCAGGGGCTGTGGCCTTTATCTTTTTCAAAGGCCTTTCCCCATGTCTTTTGCAGAGGGCTTTGCCTTTTGCCTTTTCTTAGGTACTGAAGACATGTATTTTGCAGTGGGCCTTTTATTGGGGTGGATGGGCCATGTCTTTTGCAGGAGACCAGAGCAAGGGCCATCTGGCAGGAAGAAGATATACCTACAAGAAGGAAGAAGGGAGAAGGTTCTGCAAGAGGGTTGACGGAGAGGAAGACTTTAGGATGTATTGAGAGAAAGGGAGATGGCAAGGGAAGGGGGAAGAAGGAAGTCTCAAATGAGAAAGAACAGTTTTAAACCTGTCAACAAATAAGTACGTGGCTAACTGGGAGGGAGGAAAACTTGAAATCTTGGAGGTAATGAATTCCTCGCAAATGAATGTGGAATACTTAGCTTAAGACTGCATAAGTTCATACGCTACTAAATGGGAGAATATAGCGAACACTAAAGTATTGGACATTGTGTGTAAATTATTAAGTTTAAATCTTATATTGAGATCTGAAATGTGGTTAAAAAGGGAAGCAACCACCTGATTCAGATGTTCCAGTTGTGTGTTTTATGCAATATAAATCCATTAGCTGTGATCTCACTAATTTGAAGGTATGTATGGGGGTGTTGGCTTTTTCTGTGCAGAAGTCAATTTTTCACAAAGATAGTAGGAACTGCAGATGCTGGAGAATCTGAGATAACAAAGGTGTAGAGCTGGATGAACACAGCAGGCCAAGCAGCATCAGAGGAGCAGGAAAGCTGACGTTTCGGGCCTAGACCCTTCTTCAGAAAAATGATTTTTCTGAAGAAGGGTCT